CTATCTGTGCATACTAATTAATGATGTCAAGCATAGTTACCGCAAGATGTGATGTCACAATACATAGTTACATGTACCACAAGATGGAGGATCTTCTCTCTGACTGTGAAGAAATACACCAAGCGGAATCTCTCACCGGGATTCAAAATGAAATTAGCAAACATATACCTAGCGTGAATAAAACCTATATATATATTTATATGTATCACGATAATAATTGTTACCTTTATAATAGAAGCTTTTTAAGACATGTTATTACCGTAAACAGACTAAAATATTGCAAACTGGGCCCGCAGTAAAGGGTACGTTCACTTTGCATCAAACAGTATTCAAACCAGCTTTGGTGGCAAAATGTTTTTTTATTTCTCAGAATCAAGGGATGAATAAACTACTAGACTGCAAAATTTCACAAGCCGCCTATGTTGTATTGTGTTCAAGACGCCTATTTCACACAAAATATTATTTTATATCCATGTGGACCTTCCATATAAATATCTATCTGTATAATAAGTTTATGAAAATATGCATTTAAACAACATTTAGATATTATCTACCACCTGTTCCACTTTCCCCTCAAACTAACAATAAATTGTTTGTTGGAATTTTCTATTAAACGGAAAGGTGCTTGTCGCTGTAAAATACTTGATCAATATACCAAGTGTTAATTTATATAATAATTTAAAGCATACACTATTTAACACCATATCTTTCTGCATGCAATGACAATTTATTGCTTTTTGAATAAAACGGAAACATACTTTTCTTTCGTTATTGTAGCTGTAAAATAATATACGAATTATTATTTTATATAGCGTATTTCTACAGATCTTTAAAGTAATCAAGTACCGCAGAAATTTGCAACACGTTTTAACATCCCATCTTTCCCCTCCCTTTTTAGGGATGGGTTGAACAAGAGTATAGTAGTTTCAGGGCTCCCAAAACTAGTTTAGGTTCGTGGGTAATTTGGTGTCCCCGTTTAATCATGAATTTATGTCGGGTTTTGATGAATTGCCAAGGTTGCCGCAAGTTAGGTGTGCAGAAGCTAGAAACACCAAGATAAACTCTATAAAGCACAATTTACATTAAAGACAAAACTGAAAGCGAAACTTTTACTTTTGTCTTCGTTTTATTAGGCACTACAAATCTGGAAGTTTTTCGATATTTTTGGTAATTGCGGACCTTTTTCCAACCAATGTGCTTCAGCAAAGTGACCTCCAGTTACCCCAGATATACGCCAAGTGACGCTAGAGACTAGGTGTCTTTCAAAACATTTTGTCGAGTTGCTTGTCCCAGGGCCTGGATGTGGCTGTCGCGGCCATGAAATAACGTCCAACTAATGTCATTTGATGGATTAAATATCTTTAATATGTGCCGATTCAGAATCCGGATGATGCCAATACAAATTAGTATTCCAATATGACGACTTTATTCAAAATATGGCCACAATTGACGGGAAATTTCGATGTTAGCAATGTGGTGGCATAATACGTCAAATAGTAGGTATTCGGGGTAGGCAAATTAACATCTGAACCCCAAAATGTACTATGACCGAACAAAACACCAATATGGTACTCAAATTTGACAAAATATCTATTATGTTCAGTAGACTATGGAAGACAATATTACATTTAGCAGTTCAGATATTAATTCGGCGACCTCGAAAACCCCCAGTTTAACGCATTACACCATCACATTACTACAATTAACATTGAAATGTCCCTCCGTCTTCATTATCCCAGTTGGGGCAGAACTGTAGGATGTTAAACCCCATTTCATTTCGAAATGTCCCGCCAATCGTGACCGCCAATGCGAATATAGTGGTCATATTGGAATACCTTTGGGTGGAACATATTTTATGTTAATACCTGAATTAGGAGACCACGAAAAACTATACATGTGACTTTATGCTTTTCTCTCAAAAATCGGTCCCATTTTGAATTTGGCTTCCTACCGGAATTTGCCGTCACTTTTTGGGGCGGGGCGATGCCCAAGCTCTTTGGATTCGGCGAGTCATATTCTTATAAAAACCAACTTTCAAACCGACGTCTGAGATAAATAACTAGAAAATGTATGGGGACAAATATTAGAATTTCTTCAAAATGTGGCCTAACATAACTAGTATAAAGACGATATAATCAATTTTAAGGATGAAGCCGAATGAGAGCGACGATGTAGTGGCCAAATAGATAAAAAAAAAAAGTGACATTGAGGAGCCCCGCGACTCAATGTTTGACACACATTTTGTGCTTGTACTGTGGAAGTGCATTGAATGTTGCATGGATAGGGTCGACCGATTTTCACCTTTTTGGACCCTCTGGTATTCAGTTCATATCTGTCCACATATGATCTGGACCCACAAAACGTCACTATAAAGTAATGCTTTTGTGGACACCACAAGGGGGTGCTGTTCACATTACCGTGAAAGTTGGTTTTGTAACACATCTCGGGTATATCTACGAAACTGGTGTCAAAATATAAATCTTTCTGATGATTTTTGGGCCAAATGTCAAAATTGATCAGCCCTACCCATTCACCTTTTGATGCACTACTTGTCCAGTAAAAGACCTCTTGGCGTATGAAATTCGATATATGAGTAGGCTGTTGCGCCTTTGCAGGGCAAATTTTCCCTCATAGCACACTTTGGGAGCCAAATCAGAGCAGAAGAATTGGATGTATAACCTCATTTTATTTCATTTCTTCAACAATTGAAATGAATCCGTGTTCCTGCAGCTACTCTGATAGTATCACCTATCAGCAATGCAGCAGTAGTTATACTTTTAGCCCCCTCCACCTCTCCAGATCTCCGTAATTGTAACACATTGTTCTTCTTTATCAACCCAACATAATGGGCATGCACTCTTTTCTGCATCAGCATTCATTTCTGCTGTTAAGATGTGTAAATGGACTAATTTTAGAAGAAATGCGACGTCCTAGAAACATAACGTTGCAATTTTTGGACTCGCTGATACCAACTTTCTTTCTGTCCGCAATACATTTATGGTGTCTAAATCCAATAGTTTTAGAGATATTTGCAATTTTTGATCGACAGCCGCCATCTTGGATTTGGCCACGCCCCGTCCTTATTTAGACTCCGATTTTGGTAAACTTTCTTTTCCTTACTTAGGACATCATAATGTTACTTTGATCAGCCTAATATGTTTGGAGCAATATAGCCCGGTTGGAGCTGACGTGCCATTAAACAACATTTCATTTCATTTCATTTCACGAAATCCTATCAATATTCAGTGTTTTACAACTTTACATTCCGGAGTTACCTACCAATTTTTCATATTTCGTTGTAAGGCTTGTAAGCATTGGGGTGATGAGAGAATTAACTTTCTACAACTTTCTGATCCGGACTAATCGCCTCTTAGCCAAAATCTTGTGAAAACCATATAAGCTACCTTTTTATACGCTCACATTTTCATGTGGACGTATATTGTCGTCGCCTTTGTCCGTCCTTCTGTCCGTCCAAAATTGTTTGTGAACACACTACAGGGTCACAATTTTTATCCGATTTCAATGAAACTTGAAATATAGGTTTATCACCCTAAGATCTCGGTTCCTTTCGATATTGGCATGTATTGGACTGTAACTTCATGGATTATGGCCCTTGATTGTACGAAAAATCATGTTTTTAGCTTGTGAACACTGTAGAGGTCACAATTTTTATCCGATTTGGTTTAAACTTGAAATGCATGTTTATAACCCACAGGTCTCGGTTCCTTTCGATATTCGCGCATATCAGACCATAACTTCCTGAATTTTGGCCCCTGATTGTACAAAAAATCACGTTTTTAGCTTGTGGACCCTATAGAGGTCACAATTTTTATCCGATTTACAAAACTGTTTGAATATATCACCGTTACACCCTAAGAGTGGTTGAGTTTGAATTGTTGTAAAAATCGGAATGAAACTGACGGACAAAATGGCCGCCCCTCGTTCGAAAATAGTGTCAAAATATTGTGTATCAGGGTTGTGGATCTCTGGAGGTCACAATTTTCATCTAATTTTGGTGAAATTTGAAATGCATGTTTATAACCCAAATATCTTGGTTCCTTTGTATTTTCGTGCATATCGAATCGTAGCTTCCTGAATTATGGCCCCTGATTGTACGAAAAACCACGTTTTTAGCTTGTGGCTCCTGTAGAGGTCACAATTATTATCCGATTTAAAAAAAAACGTGAATATATCACCGTTACACATTAATTTTGTCTGAGGTTGAATTTCATGAAAATTGGACCAAAATTGCCAGACAAAATGGCCGCCCCTCGTACGCGAATAGTGTAAACATCTGGTATATCAAAGTTGTGGACCCTCTAGAGGCCACAATTTTGATCAGATTTTGATGAAACTTGAAATGCAAGTTTATAAGCCAAAGATCTCGGTTCCGGTCAATAATCGTCCATATCGAATTGTAACTTCCTGAATTATGGCTCCTGATTGTTTGAAAAATCGCATTTTTAGCATGCATCTTCTCTAGAGGTCACAATTTTTTTTTCGGATTTTAAAAACTGTTTAAATATATAACCATTCCACCATAATGAATGTTGAATTCGAATTTCGGGAAAATCTAAATGAAACTACCCGACAAAATTGCTGCACTTTGTACGCAAATTGTGTAAAAGTATGCTACGAAGGTTGTGGACCCTCTAGAGGTCACAATTTTTATCTGATTTTAATGAAACTTAAAACATATCTTTATATCCCAAAGATCTCAGTCCCTTTTGATATTTGCGCATTGCAGACCATAATTATTGCCCCTGATCGTACAAAAAATCACGTTTGTTTTTAGCATGTTCTCTATCCATCTCTTGCAAAATGTGGGCGTATCCTGCCTGGCAGCTGCATTGAGGCATTGAGGTCATGAGCGAATGAAACCTATTAATATTCAGATATATACTGTAATATAGACAATGTCTGTGTGTTATTTATTTATTTTGGGTATTGAGATGTTCACACATTCTTATATAATTCTTGTATCTATTTTTTTTTACTAGGACCTTCACCTGATCGAGACTGCCGTTTGGAAGCTGGTGTGGCATTTATCAGTGATTTCGTTGCTGGTGTTGTTGTTTTCTTGGTGATAATCTTTGTTATTAACACAGGTATGATCATATTTTAATTACTACGGAACATCAGCATTTAGTAAACGGATTTGATCAGTTTTTCCAACAATGGTTTGAAACTAATCTTTAAATACAGAAACTTCTGCTAAAACAAGATAACTATATATACTCAAGTTGTAGTGTGTAGACGCTGGTCAAATTTAGGTGATCTTAAAATAATCTTCTCGATATGTTGTTTAAGTGTATTTTCTTATGAACACTCTACAGACTACATTTATTATCCAAACTTTTTCAAATTTATTTACGTTAACATTAGTGAGATGAAGAACCCTATTGAATTTCTGCAATTTCCGTCAATTACAATTTCTGATAATTCTCCTTATACAACCAGATTAAAATATTGTCAAATATGGTCGTCTCCTGATTCATCATCCATTAATTCTTGACAGACTTCATCTATACTTTTATCTTGTTTATATAAAGACAAATAGATTTATTATAAAATCACTGGGGGGGGGGGGGGCTGAATGGTTAGCGTGCACGCGCTGTATCCTAAAGTCTGTCATTGAGTCGACTGGCGTGGTTTCAAATCCCCGGTTGTACGTGACAAGGAGTAGGGTCGCCTGTCCAACCTCGTGGGTTTTCTCCGGGTCCTCCAGTTTCCTCCCACTGCTAAAGACCCCTATGCGCAAGCGAATTATTGAAATAAAAATAAAAACCATATGTTAGTCCCGAAATGACCTAGTTTGTGTCGAGTGGATGTTAAACCCCATTTCTCTCTCTCTCTCTCTCTATAAAATCACTGCTCGAGTTATTGCTCTTGGCACAATCTTGTGAATGCTTTTACAACAAAAGTAATCACCTAGACTGCTTGAAATTTATATATCAGAGTATTTCAACAATTTCCATGGTAATGATTTTTATTCTCACATTTCACAGATCTGAGTGCCCCGTCAATGATTGTAATCTTTGTTATTTTTGCTGTTGCATCTGGAATTCTTGGTGCTGGATCGTGGGCAGCATGTAGTAAGTAACACCTTTACAAAGCTTTTGTTGTTTTATCTGTATCAATTCTTAGCTTAGAATGCTTTGTGAAGTCGTGGCCAGGGCCCTTATTCACGAAAACTTAAACTAAGAATCAATCGAAATTTTAAGAAATACTGCAATTCGATTGGCTGACCAATATGCAAATTAGATATATGCAAATTGATTTTACTGGTCAGCCAATCGAATTGCAGTATTTCTTAAAATTTCGATTGTATCTTAGTTTAAGTTTTCGTGAATAAAGGCCCTGGTTATTCAAGATTTGTTTGAATTTTAGTCTGTATATCAGGTCAGATCGTCAAGATAGCTAAAGTATAAAATATTATAATGTATCAGGTCTCAATAATATTATAATGTAAATTACTGTCACCCAGATTCAGAGACTGATCAGAATGTTTTATCAATGGAGGGTGGTGAATAGTATATGTTTTATCAATTGAGGGTGGTGAATGGTATATGTTTTATCAATGGAGGGTGGTGAATGGTATATGTTTTATCAATGGAGCGTGGTGAATGGTATATGTTTTATCAATGGAGGGTGGTGAATGGTATATGTTTTATCAATGGAGGGTGGTGAATGGTATATGTTTTATCAATGGAGGGTGGTGAATGGTATATGTTTTATCAATGGTGGGTAGTTAGGTCGAATGGTATATGTTTTATCAATGGAGGGTGGTGAATGGTTTTTGTTTTATCAATGGTGGGTAGTTAGGTTGAATGGTATAATATATATTTACCTTATGTGTTAGTCCCAAAATGATCTCTAAATAACCTAGTTGTGTAGAATAAATATTAAACCATATTTCTTGTAATTTTAGATAATGGTATATCAGTTGGTGGAATAGTTGGTATCAATATCGGCTGTATGCTCGCTGTATTTATAATAACAATTCTAGTTATGAGAGCCGCTTGTCAATGTAAGTATTAGTTTTATTATACGCCCACATTTTCATGTTTACGTATATTGTTGTCGCCCCTGTCCGTCCACAATTGCTTGTGAACACTCTACAGGTCACAATTCTTATCCGATTTCAACGAAAATTGAAATATAGGTTTATCTCCCCAAGATCTTGCTTCCTTTCGATATTGGCATGTATCGGACCATAACTTCATGGATTATGGCCCCTGATTGTACGAAAAATCGCGTTTTTAGCTTGTGAACCCTATAGAGGTCATAATTTTTATCCGATTTAAAAAAAACGTGTTAATATATCACCGTTACTCCGTAAGGACGGCTGAGTTTGAATTTCGTGAAAATCGGCCCAAAACTGACTGACAAAATGGCCGCCCTTCGTTCTCAAATAGCGTAAAAAATATGGTATATCAAGGTTGTGGACCCTATAGAGGTCACAATTTTTATTTATCCGATTTTGTTGAAACTTGAAATGTAAGTTTATAACACAAAGATCTCTGTTCCTTTCGATATTCGCGCATATCGGACCGTAACTTCATGAATTATGGCCCCGTATTGTACGAAAAATCGCGTTTTTAGCTTGTGGACTTTGTAGAGGTCATAATTTTTATCCGATTTAAAAAAAAAACGTTTTATTATATCACCGTTAAACCCTAAGACGGTTGAATTCGAATTTCGTGAAAATCGGCCCAAAACTGACAGACAAAATGGTATATCAAGGTTGTGGACCCACAAGATCTTGATCTTTGAACCAAAGATCTTGGTTCCTTTCGATATCGGACCCTAACTTACTGAATTAGGGCCCCTCATTGTACGTAAAATCGCATTTTCGCTTGTGGACCCTATAGAGGTCATGATTTTTATCCGATTTTAAAAAACGTATTATTATATCACGGTTACACCCTGAGGATGACTGAGTTCGAATTTCGTAAAAATCGGCCCAAAACTGACAGACAAAATGGCTGCCAATCGTTCTCAAATTGCATAAAAATATGGTATATCAAGGTTGTGGACCCTATAGAGGTCACAATTTTTATCCGATTTTGTTGAAACTTGAAATATAAGTTTATAACCCAAAGATCTTGGTTCCTTTCGATATTTGCGCATATCGAATTGTAATTTCCTGAATTATGGCCCTTGATTGTAGGAAAAATCACTTTCTTTTTAGCTTGTTCTCTATCCATCTCTCGAAAATGTGGGCGTATCCTGCCTGGCAGCCGCTGGTTCTAGAATCTGAAATGACTGAAAGATGAAGCACATACATGTAGCTTCCATCATATGTAGAAATTAAAGACATAGCAGAATAATTCACATTTAGACAAATTATCATAATTTAATTATAATTGAGCTCGCATCTTCCAGATAAAAGAAAACTTGAAATAAATTTCAAAAATTAAGTTGTTTTAATACCAAATTTTTTCTGAATTTAGAAGAAAACACTTTTGCCCAAATTAATCCTTTCTGTTTGGTTGGATGAATATCAGACATATTATTTTAAACTTTGAACAGAACAGTTGAACATTAAACATGGTTAAACCCCATTTCATTTCATTTAAACTTTGAATTTTAATTCAACATTTTCTTTTTACTGGAATTTTAAATTATTATAAAACAAGACTACAGATCTATAGCAGAATTAATTCTTATATTTACAGTACAATACAATACAGTACAGACTTGAATGATATCACACGGTGGATTGAACAGTTCATTAGATACCATCATAACATCATGGTTGCTGTACGTGTCATGTCTTTATCAACTAAACTACATGTTAATAGATTCGTCTTTCAACTGTCTATATGTATGCACCAATTTTTTATTTTTTGTCCTTCAGACAAACCGGTTAAAATGTTGCTTCAGGAAAAAAAAATAATTTACAAGCAAAGAATATTTGGTTGCTCTTCTCAAAAGCTTTCAATTCGAAATTTTAAACAATTCATTTTGGACGAGTTTCACGTGGATATTTATCAGAAGAACAAAAAATGAAATTACTATGACCACAGCATAATCCTTTATTTGTTTATGTCATTTTGATAAATAATTACTTTATTAAATCCTGGCACCTAACATCTTTCATCGATAAAAATATATTTTATAAGTAAGCCTATAAAGTGAAACATAATTCAACAATTGTAATTATTATTTAATGATTTATTCAATAATCTTTATGGTGAAATTTGTTAATTTGTGCCTTTTTCACCTTTGGTTTACATCATAATTTATATAAAATTAATTTTCTTATTTTAAGTTCTAATTTCTCTTTAAAAGAAGTATTTGTTAGGGTTTTATAATAACTTTTACTTGTTATTTAATCATTATGCATAATTTACACTAATTCATCTTGCCTTATCTTGCTTCAAGTTCTAATATATTAACAAATTATTATAATACCCTCTTCCTGGCGCAAGTTTCAATATATTGTAATACCAATCAATGTACCCGGTGATGATTTTTGCGAGCTCTTATTCTTCCTCAGTATTCAGTCATTGAAAATATTGAACAACATTATGAATAAATTATATATGGAAGAGTGTATTGTTTTATTATATCAGTCAAATGAAATAATTTAATTGTACTTTACCTACTTATATATACATATGTATATATATATATAGAATAAAAGTAAAGATTTCAGCTCGTATTATATATCCAAAAAACAATAGTATGAATTTAACAACTATATCATTATTAACTGTTTATTGACTGTCTACCACTGTTTGTCGTGTATTTTGTACACGGGGAGCAGTCCATTTGCTGATTACACTATTTAGCTCGAATACACTATTTTGCCAAAACGTTTTTTAGGACTTTGAATTCTGTCTTATGGTTTGGATTGTTCGTACTTGGTTTTATTTTATTGTTATGTTATGTCCTGAAGATGCCCCAGACAGTGATAAAACAATTAATAATAATATAGTTGTTAAATTCATACTATTATATTTTGGATATAGATTGATTGATTGATTGATTGATGACTCGTAATAATCATATTTAATATGATCTAAAAATAATATTTATCTTGATATTTGTTTAATCATTTTTTTTTTAATGAGACAAAAAGTCAGATTTACAATCATGCCCAAAACAAAATTTGATCAAAAGAAATTGATGTTTATTGTTTTATTAAATCAGTCAATCAAACGCTCAGTTTTCATATTATTGTGCCATATATTATTAATATCTGAATATGTCTATAGAGGGCATACAGATAGATTATGATTTGGTGTATATAAAATGATTTTTATATGGCCATCTTGAAATTCGGTCATATATTGTCGTCATCCCCATTCGTCCAGGGTCCATAATTACTGCCAAAGTTTCACTTTGAAAAATCCTGTAGACACTCTATTGCTTTTCGATAATTGTTGCCAGAGTTATGGCCCTTGATCACTTTGAAATATCTTGTGGACGCTCTAGAGGTTAAATTTAATATAAATTTATTCACAGTGTTTATGGTCATGAGACGAAGAATCCTATTGCTTTTCGATAATTGTTGCCAGATTTATGGCCCTTGATCACTTTGAAATATCTTGTGGACGCTCTAGAGGTTAAATTTAATATAAATTTATACACAGTGTTTAAGGTGATGAGATGAACAATGGAAACCAATTCTAATGATTTCTGGTAATTACCTAATAAAGGGTTGTTACTGGTAATCAGATTTTCATGTGTTGTAAATCTTTTCATTACTAACAAAATAAAATATATGCGATAACCCTTGTTGAAAGCCTGGACGACGTTACGGCTATGGGTGTATGTTTCGTTACCTGGCAACCTATCTTTTACCTGACATATTTTTTATTTATTCATGTATATATACATAAATAAGTTTTTTTGTTTTTTTATATTGAAACTGTTTAATCCACACTGTAGTCATGGCAACTTGAAGTTTACTATAGAGTGTGTAGATTTCATACTATCATGGCAACTTGGACGTTTACTATAGTTTATGTAGATTTCATACTATCATGTTGGATTCTCTGAGATAATTTGAAATATCAGTGATTCCTATCTATCTAGGCCAAGAAATCTAATTATATTATTCTCTAATGTTTTGATTAATCATTTTCAGATCTTTTTTATGTTCAGTTTAAATAATAATAGTTTTATTGACCTTCTTATAAATTATATGTTACATCTGTGAGTTTTATTGGCCTTCTCATAAATTATATGTTGGATCTGTGAGTTTTATTAATATATATGATACGATTTATAAATATATAGGATATATTTTAAGGCTTGATTTATTGATATGTTTTTCTCCTCGAGAACTATTATTTTATTCATCTTCTGTTATTAACGATTTCTATTATTTGTTTTCTTATTTCTTAAAATAACAGATTTAAAATCTGTAACTTTTTTTTATTGCTATTATTAATGAAGTCATCAAATTTGTGTCCTAATTGTATTGTTATAAATCTCTGTTGCTTGTAGTTCTAGTTGCTTGTAGTTCTAGCTTTTACTTAGATATATTGATGGTATCTATCTCTATTTGTGCTATGTCAGTACCCATTGTATTGGTTAGGTTTTAAAGTGTACCAGTTCTATAAAGTACAATTTAAATGAGTACACATTGAATTGGTTAGGTTTAAAAGTGTACCAGTTCTATAGAGTACAATTTAAATGAGTACACATTGTATTGGTTAGGTTTTAAAGTGTACCAGTTCTATAGAGAACAATTTAAATGAGTACACATTGTATTGTTTAGGTTTTTAATTTGTACCAATTCTATAGAGTACAATTTAAATGAGTACACATTGTATTGGTTAGGTTTTTAATTTGTACCAATTCTATAGAGTACAATTTAAATGAGTACACACTGTAATATATTTAATTCGTAAATAAAGTAATTCACAATTATGATATTAATCATTACACCCTAAACCTTATTCAATACACAATACACAGTGTATCTCTACAATATCTACACACACTGAAACTGTGTTCCAGCCATTCCTTTTGTATTCTTTTAAATCTGTAAACTTGTGTTTTCTTTATGATAATTTTTTAAAATCATGTGATGTTTTTCAACTATGTCAATCTTAACAAGCTAATTGAGTCCAGGGGAAGAACGATCTAAGTCATATTTTTGTCTTTTCGCATAAAACGCAAAACAGACTTTTAGACGAGAATGCTTGATGCGAACAGAACAACAAGTGGGTTTAACAACAACTTCAAAATGATATTTAACACAAACCATAATTACCAGTACAACTGACTTCAACTTTTCAGACAAATTAAGGTTAAATAAAGGGTACGATGGACTTGTATTTGTCTGGGAAGCCATTTCAGAAGGGCCTTGGTTCGATGTGACTCTGATTGTTTTTACCTGAAATAGATTGTTCCACAAAAAGCTTATACAATTTGCTGCCAGATGGCGCAATTAACTGGGGTTCGTGGAAAAAGTGACTTAGATCGTTCTTCACCTGGATTCTACCTTCTCACCATTGTGCTTGTGAGTACTACTTGTAATTGTGTTTAATATCAATACACTTTCACAAGATACAGGGAAATAAGATATACAAGTTTCAGGGCACTGAAAACGACATTCAAGATTCAAGGAAATTTGAGGTATTGCTATCAAATTCAAAGAGATTATTTTTAATGTAGAAGCATTTTGAATATTTGGGAGAGTTTAATGAACTTCAAGTAATTATCATATTTATCTTAGAAATTAATCTGTTAAATTAGGTTTATAATTATGTTGTATAACATATCCATCAGAATATAATGATGCAGTATTATAAACTATGTACCTCTTAAATTGCACAGAAAACATCTATATTGCACAACAAGAAACTAATACCTCACAGGTGACATGGCACCGATTACCTTTTGTCGAGAAATTTCCTAAACTAGAAAGACAAATAGTCAAATAAACCCTAGTCTATATTTAAGGAAATTGTCTCTCTATATATATGTATATATATATATATATATATATATATATATATATATATAATTGTTGATAATATTGTGTGCTCATTATTACTATGTTATTCATAATCATTGTATTTTTAAAGTATGTCTCTTTGGTATGTGTTCACCATAACATGCATAATATATCACCATCATAAAATGCATTACCATCATAGCATGCATAAATTATCACCATGGTAGCATGCACAATTTATCACCATGGTAGCATGCATATGTATAATATATCACCATCACTAGCATGCATAGTTTATCACCACCATAACATGCATAATTTATTTCTGAAACACAATTGAGTAAAACGTTAATATTGGTTAGCTGTTATATCCATTTGTTTGGATAGCAAGGTGCCATTTAATAACAAAAGACAAAAATGAGATAAGAAAAATGAAGTTTAAATTCCGCTCAACACAAACAAAAATATTGCATATGTTAGTCTTAAAATTACGTGATGTTAAAATTGTATATCTACAACTAGACATGACGTTAAAACTATATCTACCATCTAGACAGCGTCACTTGATGATATGGAGATGTATTTCCTATTATTTATATTTATACCATATAATCTTCTGTATCTTATGTTTTAATATTGATGTATAAATACTTGTAATGTATTAGCTTTTTAATATAGCCGTGTGAAATATACATGTTCTACTGTATATTGTTAGATTTACTTTATATACGCCCACTTATATTGTCGTCCGTCGATCCGGCATCCACACTCTCAAGGCTAAAGTTAATATACGATCAACTTTTAATTTATAGCCTACATACTGTTTAAGGTCATGAGACGAACAGGCCAATTGAGTATAGCCCTTGACCTCTTTGAAAAATCTTGTAGAAGCGCTTGGTTGGGGCTAAAGTAAATAGCTGATTAACTTTAAACAGTGATATGTCATGAGACGTAGACTCCTATTCATTTTCAAAGATTTCCAATAATTACTGACAGAGTTTAGGCCCTTGATCACTTTGAAAAATCTTGTGGACACTAGAGAGGCTAAAGTCAATATAAATTGTTGAAGGTCATGAGGCAAACAATCGAAACAAATTCTAAAGATTTCTGTTAATTACTTAATGGGTTAATACTTCTAATCAGATTTTCAGGTGTTGTAAATGTCCACCTTACTGACAAAAGAAAAAAATATGCAACCCTTGTTGACTGCCCTGACGACTTTGCTGCGTGGGCGTGGATTTAGAATCGGAAGGGGGGACGAATAGGTCTCTGCCCCCACCCCCGCCCAATGATTTTGATCGCCAGGACAGATTTTCAGGTTTATATCCAGATTAATGTCCCATTCTGTAGGTTATCTAACCACTGCCTTGGGTCTCGGCACAGTTACTGATCTTCACGATATCTTCCTCCTTAATTGTAGGTAGTCAGTTTTTCAATATCGTCATCATTATTACCCCTAGCTACAGCTTTCATCAAAATAACACTGGTAAAGTAAACTGTTCGAAATTATTATTTTGGTTTGGGAATGAAAGGTTCCGGGGTTCGTCCGTCCCGCCCCCCCCCCCCCCCAAAAAAAAAAAGTTATGACAAATCCACGCCCTTGGGTGTATGTTTCGTTGCTTTGCAACCTATGTTTTAAATATGTAGGGATTGTTTAGTGTGTCATGTTATTATGTTTAATATTAACTCCCAATCATTTTCCATAATTAACACAAGAAAAGAAATTGATCTATGTAATTCTTGTGTCAAATATGAAAAACTGATCCATGTGATTGTGCAATTTTATATCTGTATTAGTTAGGGATATTATTACATTTTGTTTTTATACGCCCACATTTTCATGTGGACGCATTATGCCGTTGCCCCTGTCTGTCTGTCCGTTCACAATTTGTTTGTGGACACTGTACAGGTCACAATTTTTATCCGATTTTGACAAAACTTGAAATATAGGTCTATCTCCCAAAGATCTTGATTCCTTTCGATATTGGCATGTATCGGACCATAACCGCTCCTGATCACGTATTTAGCTTGTGGACACTTTAGAGGTCACAATTTTCTCCCGATTTTGATGAAACTTGAAAAACATGTTTATAAGCCAAGGATCTTGGTTCCTTTCGATATTCGCGCATATTGGATTGTAATCTCCTTAATTATGATCCCTGATTGTACGAAAAATCACATTTTTAGCTTGTAGTCCCTCTAGAGGTCACAATTATTATCCGATTTAAAAAACAGTTCGAATATATAACCGTTACACCGTAATGTCTGTTGAGTTCGAATTTCATGAAAATTGGGCCAAATCTGCCAGACAAAATGGTCGCCCCTCGTACGCAAATAGTGTAAGCATCTGGTTCATCAAGGTTGTGGAGCCTCTAGAGGTCACAGTTTTGATCCGATTTTGATGAAACTTGAAATATAAGGATAAAACCCAAAGATGGTAAACTTCCTGAATTATTGCCCTTGATTGTACAAAAAATCACGTTTTTAGCTTGTGGTCCCTGTAGAGATAACAATTTTTATCCGGTTTAAAAAAAACGTGTAAATATATAACCGTTACACACTATAAGATCTTGGTTCCTTTTGATAATCGCATATGTGATTGTAATACGAAGGTTGTGGACCCGCTAGAGGTCACAATTTTTATCCAATTTTGATGAAACTTAAAACTTATTTTTATATCCCAAAGATCCCAGTCCTTTTTGATATTTGCGCATTTCAGACCATAACTTTCTAGATTATTGCCCCTGATTGTACAAAAAATCACGTTTGTTTTCAGCTTGTTCTCTATCCACCTCTTGCAAAATGTGGGCGTATCCTGCCTGGCAGCCACTGGTTATATGTTTTGTATTTATACTTGGTGATGTAGCTATTAAATCTTATCTCTGTAATTGTAATTGTTTTGTTGCTACAAGTTTAATTATCTGGATAGAAAGAAGGACACTACTCCTGGACTTTGCCTTAGAAAGGATTCAGTTTCACATCATGAATTATGGTCTGTACAAGACTTTGAAATGGATCTATAAAGAGTTTGAATGATGAACATAGCCAATTAATATTTGTACTTTGATATGGAAATATCAACTATAACCATTCGTCATAGTCTACACAGGAAGAACATAGCTAACAGTAATTTTTATACGCCCACAATGAAATGTGGTCGTTATTTGTCGTCGCCCCCCCCCCCTCGGTCCGTCGGTCTGTCCGGCGTTCACAATTGCTTGAGGACATTCTAGAGGCTAAATTTAATATCGGATTGACTTGAAATTTATACACAGTGTTTAAGGTCGTGATCAGACGACGAATCCTATTGATTTTCAACGGTTTCTGATAATTATTGCCAGAGTTATGGCCCTTGATCACTATGAAAAATCTTGAGGAGGTGCAAAGAGGCTAAAGTTAATATCCGATTGACTTTAAATTTATACACAGTGTTCAGGTTCATGAGACGAAGAAGCCTATTGTTGACTACCTGGACGACATAGCTGCTGTGGCCGTATGTTTCGTTGCCTGGCAACCTATCTTATATGGAAATATAAAATATAACTATTCATCATAATCTAGATCGTTACAAATTACCCTGAACACAGAATAATTAACAATACAATAGACAGCGTCATCCACCTAAAGTACCATCACCCATGACCCTTGGTCACAACAAAACATGATCCGAAGCACTAGTGCTGTGTATCTATTACCTAAATAAAATTCATAAAATGTCTAATCGGAAGCGAACGGCATCCACTTGGATTTGTAATCACCGGAGATTTCCATCTATTACCCCTCGGGTACAAGCTCATTGTTAGATTTATGTTTCACGTGGTACCAGAGGTTTTTTACTTATTATTTTCAATTCCACATTCCAAAAACCCTCATTATCCAATTATAGAACCTCACAGAAGTAATTCATATCCATAAAGTCTCAAGGGGGCGGGGGGCCGAATGGCTAACACGTGCGCGTTGCATCATAAGGTTTATTACTGAGTCATTGAGTGGTTACGATTCCTATGGGTATTATAATGACGCGGGTAGTGGATAATCCGAGAATTTAATTAGGATTCGATATTTGTAATAAATAGTAAGCGATTAAAGACAACATCGTCTTATGTATGCAATGAATTCTCCTCTGACACCCAAGACGTGACGTAAACATGACCTGGTTTGATCGAATATTAATAGCAGGGCATTCCTTCGCAATTACAATGTTTGAGAAGGATTTGAAGCATAATTATGACAAATTAATTAGTTTGAATATGTTTTTGGTCCATATATACCATTAAATTACCCAGTTTGTACGCTGGAATCCATCTTTAAGTCAATATTTTCTTGAAAGGATTATTAAATACTCAGTCATGATAACTCTTTACATCTAGGTCTTTAAATCTAGTTAAATTATTTGAGATTCTGAAACTAAATACAATCACCAGTTGCTGAATCAATATTTCAATCAACATAAAATAATATTATTATCATGAACATTGTTTAAATCGGGGGAAATTATTAAAGTTACTGAAATATTTTATTTAACAATATGATTATTATTGTTGTATAATACGGTTATATTTACACAAACAAACCAACAAACAAATAAAAACAATGTTCGTGTATTTATTGTAGGTCAATATTGATCCAGCCATGTTAAGAAATGTTAGCAGTTCTTTCATTGGTTTGTTTTATTATAACCATTACAGGAATTTCTACGAACAAGTGGAAAATAAAACCAGGTTATCAATTGATGAATTGATACAGGAGAATTAGAATTATGACAGTATAATATATGTAAATAATATATATAACAGTGATTCTCAACCAGTGTGCCGCGAAATCTTCCTGGGTGTGCCGCGAAATTGTGAACGACACCCAAAGATTATGCGGAAAACCAATTGATCCCAATTGAGTGTTCACTGGTGTTTACTGATAAGTTCTAGCTGTGTTTTCTTTATTTAGTTTGAGTCATTCTATGTGGCTATGGATAGTCTCTGTCTACGGTTGTATGCCGTCTGACCTATGTTTTTGTTTTGCAAAACTCAAATATGTTTTCATGTGCTAGAAGATGTGCCGTTGGCAAAAAAGGTTGAGAACCACAAAATGTTTAGGAGAAAGTGGAATTATAATAATTACAGTATAATATAAACAATATAAAATGACAAAATGTCTAATGTAATTATTACATAGTATAATATTGATATCTAATATCATACGTTTACAATCATACCTTTATCATTAGACATTTTGTCATATTATACGGTAATAATTATAACTTTACTTTATCATATCAAGGAGAACGTAGAATTGTAATTAATGGTGATGTGAAAAACACCCGTTTCTAACCTGATCATAGTTTATATCAACTACATTAATATTCACATAGACCCTGCTAATCACCGACAAGAATTGACAAGAGTGATGTTTGTCAGTAGCGCCCATAGTATTGCAACAAGTTTCCGTCAAGGAAAGATGTTATAGATATGATCTGATAAAAAATTGAAAAAATATGAAATATTAAAATTGGGCCAAAAATGGTCCAACAACCCCCATTCACCCAATAGCGACCAAAGTATTGTGAAGAGAGAGATAGATGGGGTTTAACGTCCACTCGACACAAACTAGGTCATTTCGGGACTAACATAATATGGTTTAATTTTATTTTAATAATTCGCTTGCGCATAGGGGTCTTTAGCAGTGGGAGGAACCCGGAGAAAACCCACGAGGTTGGACAGGCGACCCTACTCCTTGTCACGTACAACCGGGGATTCGAAACCACGCCAGTCGACTCAATGACAGACTTTATGATACAGCGCGCGCACGCTAACCATTCAGCCATCCAACCCCCTGACTGACAAAGATGTTATAGCATACTGTATGGCGCATGCCCGTCTTCATTAGCCCAGTCGGAGTAGGACGTTAAACCACATTTCATTTCATTTTATTTTGTGGACAGTTTCATTTATTTGTTATTGTGCTATTTATTATAGTGTAAGAAACAATTTGTAAAACTACTTTTTATCTTTAGTTAAACTACGAATAGAAAAAAATACATCCGGGCCCTTATTCACGAAAACTTAAACTAAGATACAATCGAAATTTTAAGAAATACTGCAATTCGATTGGCTGACCAGTAAAATCAATTTGCATATATACAATTTGCATATTGGTCAGCCAATCGAATTGCAGTATTTCTTAAAATGTCGATTATATCTTAGTTTAAGTTTTCGTGAATAAGGGCCCTGATGATGTATTTGGGATTCGGCCATCTTGAATTAATCCTTTCCTTTGATAAGTATCCATTTTGTTGACAAAACTCTCGAATTTCTCCGGTTCATGTTTAAACATCAATTAGTCGCATTACTGAGCTCTGTAATCAGCTGACCAACAGATTAAACTCAAAGAACAAATAAATTCGATCTCCAACCAACAAGAAATTAAATAGTCTTTATCGTCTGATTTATATTCGTTTCAGTTTAGTTTAAGTGGTGGTTTTAATTCAACCCTTGTTAGTCACATCACGTGGTAAGAGGTCGACTGTAGTTTATGTGTGAAAGATGAAGACTTTGCTTGGTTATAATTATATCCGTTTCTCATTGTCGCATTTAAACTTTGAGAGACAATCTCCGGTCACATTTACATATAGTTATTGAGTGCATATTCCATACACCATATCAACAATTTCTTAAAACCTTGCTATTGACATGCAGAGGACGTAAATAAGACCTTGAAATTAAAAAGTCATTATTGCCAAACAAACAAAATTATTCAAATAAATAGCGAAATACCCGTTTGTAGTAATTGTCTTATCTCTGTTCATATTATTTGTGACGTGTCGCTAGGTAAATCTACGCTCTTATACACTGCTGTGCCACGGTTTTGATTATCGGACATCGTAACACTGCAGTAGGAACGCTTCCATAATGAGGGTATCTATATGAATATTCAGTGTTTATAATAAGGGTATATCTATGAATATTCAGTGTTTATAATAAGGGTATATATATGAATATTCAGTGTTTATAATAAGGGTATCTATATGAATATTTAGTGTTTATAATGGGTGTATATATCTATATGAATATTCAGTGTTTATAATAAGGGTATATATATGAATATTCAGTGTTTATAATGAGGGTATATATGAGGGTATATATATGAATATTCAGTGTTTATAATAAGGGTATCTATATGAATATTCAGTGTTTATAATGAGGGTATATATATGAATATTCAGTGTTTATAATGAGAAGCTGCCATTGTCACTACTAACATGTGTGGATATTATTCGACAATTGGTTAAATGGATGGGGGGGGGGGGGGGGTGATGGCCGAATGGTTAGCACGTGCGCGCGCTGTATCATACGGTCTGTCATTGAGTCAACTGGCGTGGTTTCGATTCCCCGGTTGTACGTGACAAGGAGTAGGGTCGCCTGTCCAATATCGTGGGTTTTCTCCGGGTCCTCCGGTTTCCTCCCACTGCTAAAGACCCCACGCGCAAGCGAATTATTGAAATAAAATTGAACCATGTGTTTGTCCCGAAATGACCTAGTTTGTGTCGAGTGGACGTTAAACCCCATTTCTCTCTCTATCTCTCTCTCTCTGGTTAAATGGAAGGTAAAACGTACGATTAATTTATTCATCCATTGTCTTGTACTTTCCGTTTAATTCATTCGATCGTCTATTACCTGGTACCGTCTTTTTAATTCGTTCATTCATTGACCTATTCAGGAATAAAATTCTATAAAGTCCTTTCACTGTCTCAAGAGAGCTAGGGTTTTTAACGATCGGTGTTTTTTGGTCTGCGACACAGAAACATAATTTAAGTATGCGTACTAAAAGTACTTTACTAGATATTTAACAACAGTTAATGTAATTATAGATTGTAGATCATTCAGATAGAACC